AAACCTGAGTATATGTACAAAAGTAAAGAGTGTAGTTAGGTCAGTACGCCTGGTTTCTGTCTGTCAGTAAGGTACTCAGCTCTTGCTGTATTGTGAAGTGCAGGTGCTGCTGGGCAGCAGAATAGTCCCATTAAATTATTCTAGCAATTGGACGATGCAGTTATTTGTATTTTACTAGAACAATAAATGTTTGGCTATACATAGTGGAGTCCAAAAGTCTGAGAAGAAAGCATTTTGATCGAAAATGTCTTTTATGTTTGTGCATCTTGAGCTCCACTAGACTCAAGAACATCTGACCTTTTGAGTTCACATCAGTTGACGTCAGGGTCACAAATTTGCTTAAATTTGCTTAGTGTCCTAGAAATGAGAATCTTTTCATTTCATGCCATAGCTTTTCTTTGTTTCACATTTTCACTGTCCTAAACTTTCTGTTTATTTCTAGATTTAAAGAGGGGGAAAAAATCCCATAATGTAGCCTCAGACTTTTGGGCCTCACTGTATATCATTTGTGTAAGTCCATGTCCACGGCGATAGAGTTATATCTCACCACTCGACAGCTATGAAGTGATGAGATCATGCCAAATGACCTATATTGTGTTGCTGCTGTAGTTTGTACCACATTCATTTAGCACACATCCGTCCTCTTAAAGCTCCAGGGAATAAAAGCTGCAGCCATTGCGTCTCACCTTGTTAGAGGTGCTGGGTCTGTACTGGAATCTGCTTTAAAAAATGAAGTTGGGAGAGTGCTGAGCTGACGGCACTGCGAATCTGTAAACACCTATGTAAATCAATTACAACTGGAAAAACACAGTCCCGTGTATAATTTGATCTGATTATGCTGTTGACAGTAGCGGTGTAATGATTACTTCCACACAACAGAGGCAAAGCATGTTGCTGGCTCCGAGATGTGAATGTATTTTATTATCAGGCTAGAAAATCTTTTATTTGATTTGTCAAGTTGTTAGGGCAGCAGTAGAAATTCGATTTGATATTAATTAAAAGGAAATGGAGAAGGGGGAAAAATGAATGTGGTAATAGCCTGTGACGACTTTAGAAAAAGAGTTCAGGTGCATGTGCTTTTTATGTTCGAGATCAATATTAGTGTGCTCGTTTTGATGAGAAGAAACTGTGTGATTTGATCAGTGTAGACCTCAATCTCTTCAATTCTTTATTGAGTGATTGCACTCCCACTCCACCTGGGCTCACTCTGCCCATGCATCTGATATCCTCTGTTCAGAATGTTATAGAGCAAACAATGTAAGATGAGTTTTTGGATTTCAATTCTCTTTCTGAAAAAAAAAAAAATCTTTTTTTTTTCAGTGTGTGTGTGTGTGTGATAGAGGGGGTGGGTGGAGTTGCTATGCGCGGCGATTGTATAATAGAAAATTAGTAAAGATCAGACCGGCTAAATTTTGATGAAGTAATGATTTGCTGGGGCGCTTTGTGCTGTGTTTAGACCAGGTGTCGTGAAATAGCGTATTTCACTTTTGAGTCTATTCAACTTTGAGTCTATTATATAAAACATTTTAAATTTTTTGTCAGTTTAAGTTGAGTTGGTGCAGCTCAGCCTAAAAAAAGGATAAACAATGCAGTAAGTAACTTCTCTCTCTCTCTCTCTCTCTCTCTCTCTCTCTCTCTCTGTCTCTCTCTCTCAAAAAACAAACAGAAAGGCTGTTTTATTCTACATGAAGCAGGTCGCCTCATGGGGGCGACATACTGGAATTCAAGTTTGTTTATATAGTACCTTTCAAAATACATACTGTTTCAAAGCAACTTTTACAGGAAATGCTTATTTCAGTGTTAAAAATAGTAATTATTCTGTTATCAGTCAGATATGTGTGTAAGTAATGTCCTTAAGGCAGCAATATACAGCTAAAATGTAATAAACTGTACTCACTATTGGTCAAACTATCTTCAAGTATGAAAACAAAGCCAAAACCTGGTCATTTTAGGCAATTTAAAAATTCTGGCCAGGACATGTCAGGGAAAATGAGGACATATGGTCACCCTACTTGTACTTGCCTTGTAATTGACCCTTCCAAAGACCCGGCCCCCTTAGTTACTGTTGCTATGTTCGACAAGCCATGCCGCTCTCACGCAACACATCAGTTTCATACGTAGTGAAAAACACATCGCGGAGCAAAGAGGGAACTGACAACGTGCCAACAGACAAGACAGAGCAGGTTACTTTTGCTAGGAAACAAAGTGTCAGCTTTTAAATTTGTAATTTTGTAAGAAATTCAAACAATAAATTCTGTTTTGTGGCTCTTTAATGTGTTGTGACAGATCGCTGTAGCACCTCCGTTCAAGCGTTCATCTCTTCCTCTTTACTAGTTATAGCGCAAAATAAACATGAATGAACATCAGAAGGTATCTTGTTTCAACCGTGGAAAAATGTTGATACACCGTTTTTCAAGTTTAAGTCCACTGACCTTAATCTATTAAGATGATCGGTCAGATCGCCTGTCAATCAAACTCCCTGCGGAGGGTCAATTATTACAGTATAAGGATTTAACAGTTTTGTATCTGGAGTCTTCGCAAGTGTTGGCATCGTCTCAAATCGTCACAAAGGCTGGATCTTGACTGTAGCTGGGGAAATCACCTCAGGATGGGCATGACCAGCCAAATTCTGTCTATTATCAGTCACTTTTGCAACAAATTGATCATAGCTTACTCTGAATAGTGTAACTGTTCTACATTGACATCGATATCTGAAGAACTTAACTGCTTCTGCTTTGGTGTCATGATATACACACACCACTAGGTGTCAGAATAAGTTGATTTGGCCATATTGGACAGTGGAAAATCAACAAAAAATATCGAGCTTCCATTTAAGCACACTTTCTGAGAAAAATATGGGTTGAATTCAGAATAGCATACTGGCATACAACTATTTCTGACATATGGCAAAAATAGTAAGGGTAGTATGCTAGTATGCTATTACAAATTTAGCCATGGTCTTGAGGCTTCCAAACCCAGACGTGCCTATATCTGAAACATCCTTTCAACGGATGGATATCTAATTATGTGTTGTGGTCTTTCAGCTTCTTTCAAATTTTCAGACATTGTTGAGTACACAGTAGTTTGACCAAACAATATAAACATTCCCTGAATGGATTTGTTTTCATGAACTTTATGACCTAGATTCTGCCAAATCTTATTTCTATCTTAAATATTTATCTTCACACAGTGAAACCAGCTTGTTGTATTCACTGAAAACTACATTCCTGCATATCACTCAGTTTTATGAAAGCTTTTTTTTAAAAGCTTTATGTTATTGTTACTGAGATAGCACTGACATTTATAGACAGAGAGAGTGTTGAGAACAAGCAAACGGTATAATTTCTGATAAATGAGGAACGTCATACGTAACCGTTTTTAATGATCATTATTTACTACTGAACAGAGAGCCAAGACTAAATCCAAACTATGATGAATTGCTAATCAATACATGGATGACAAGCCACCAGAGCCACGGAGTGTAATGGGAGATTGTGTCTGAACTGAATATGTTCAATCAAGCTGTTGTCTCGCAGTAAATGTTACTATACAATGCATGTTATTTGACTTGGCACAGCGAGCCCAGTGTGGCATGTGGTTTGCAAAACACAAGGAGGGTTTTATAAGGGGCAGCTGTGATTACATTCCTCTCTTCCATTCCTTCTCATTATGAATGTGAAACAGAATACAGCCCAAGCATAACTTACAGCACTTACAGGAGGTGTGAAACTCCACTAAGGTACAAACCACACCAAATAAAATATACATAATGCTGGTGGAGTTTCATAGTCTGGCTCTCCCGTGTCCAAAGGACTTGTGCTGGCTTCTCAAAATGAAAGGAGAGTCTGTTACTGTGAAGCCATGTAAATAAACATGAACATTTCACAACTTTGACTTTTTAAGAGGCAGAGAGCTCAGTGAAGGACATGACAAACTAGATAGGTCTACATGCGCCCCCCATCTATAATACAACACTATAAAGGGCATTGTTGTATGGAAGCCCATTTCAACCACATAAGAAAATAAATGAATTATGAAATAAAAAGCTGAAAACTATGACGGAAAATTATGTTAGAAATTATGAGAAAAACAATGACATAAAATCTCAGAAAGGAATTCTCATAATTATAATAGTAGTTTTTAAAAAAAAACTGCTCTATTTTGAAATTGCTCTTATATTTTATTCTAGTATTACTTTTATATTTCTAAAGTTACTGTTTGATGTGAATTTTGGAAGTGTTCCTATTTTAGGGAAGTGTTTACAGCTGGGTGATATCCAGATATCCATATTGTCCACTTCTAAAAGTGACAGTTATCATCTCAGCTCATTTCTCAAGGGCCTTGCACTGTTTTGGAGAATGTATTTCCATTTGACAAACAATTTAATGTTGATGTTTTGTTAATGATTTGTGGTTACTTAATAAAATAGTAATTTGCATTTAAATTGTCTTCTAACCCATTTTTCTTATTTTATTTTTATTTTAGTTAGTGTATAGTTATTTATTAAAACTAATGTTTTTACGAAGGTAAACTTAATTGTAATGTAACAAAAATGTTTAAGTCATCTTTATTTAATTTTAATTGGTTCTGTGAACCCAAAAACTCCTTGTAAAATGAACTTGATCAATAATGTTGTAGTAACTTGTAAGATTAAGTTAATATCAGTTAAAATTACTTAGTAACATTTACTTAAATTGTTTCTTTAACTTATAAAATTTAGTTAATATAACTTAAAAATTTCGATGTAATCAGTTTCAACAATTTTTTTGAGTTATATTAACTTATCCGGTTTTACAGTGCAGCAAATTAGGAGTTTATTGAGGCAAAAGTCATAATTAATGATTTGTTAATAGTGAGAATTGGACCTTAAAATAAAGTGTGACCTTTATAGGTATAATACTATTACTTTTCTCATAACAATGATTTTTATATTCTATTTTGCCTTTTTATGTCATAATTTCAATTTTTATGTTGTAATTATGATTTACCAAAGCATGTTATTTTCTAATCTTGTGGAAATGAGCTTCTATAGTAAAGAAATTGTCAAATATTTTTATATCTTACTTTCTCAAGATCATTATCATAAAAACACCTGATACAACCAATTACAAATTTTTCAGCTATGTGTCCTGAACAATCTTACTACTGATCATTAATAGTTACTTTTCCATTTTCTTAATAGGCCTGCATGTCTGTCCAGGGTTATTTTATTAAATGATTTAGATGATGCTCAGTTCCATTAATGAAAAATCCACAAAATTTACAGTGCGACCAAGTGAAGTTAGATTTTTGAACAAATGCCTCCTATGAACCGGTTCTTTTTGGTTAAATAAAACATACGTCGTAAACACTAAAATCTGATTCTTGACCAAATTACTCTTTTAGAGAATCAAAAACATAGAGGATGACCAGTGAAGTCCTATCCCCAACCAAAAAACTCTTATGAACCGGTTCTTTTTAATCAATCGCAAGCACATGAATCAATTTTTATTACAGATCCCAAGTCATTAATTTTCTCATGTCCAATTACATGAAGTAACTGATACCGTGTTATGTTGTACTTAAGACTAATGATACCTAAATAAGTGTAGCTAGTGACTGGTTGTTTATAATGTGTAAAGGGATAGTTCACCCAACAATGAAAATTCTGTCATTAATTACTCACCCTCGTGTCGTTCCAAACCCGTAAGACCTTTTAATTAAGATATTTTTGATTAATTCTGACAGCTCTCTGACCCTCCCTTAGACAGCAAGGATCCTTACACGATCAAGGTCCAGAAACGTAGCAAGGACATTGGTAAAATAATCCATGTGACATCAGTGGTTCAACCGTAATTTTACGAAGCTACGAGAATACTTTTTGTGTGCAAAGAAAACAAAAATAATGACTTTATTCAACAATTCCTCTCCTCCGCGTCACAAACAAATTGTTGAAAAAGTATTCTCATAGCTTTGTAAAATTATGGTTGAACCACTGATGTCACATGGATTATTTTACCGATCTCTTTGCTACGTTTCTGGACTTGGGAACATTGCAGTTGCGTTGCTGTCTATGAGAGGGTCAGAGAGCTCTCAGAATTCATCAAAAATATCTTAATTTGTGTTCTGAAGATGAATGGAGGTCTTATGGGTTTGGAACGACATGAGGGTGAGTAATTAATGACAGAATTGTCATTTTTGGGTGAACTATCCCTTTAAAAATACAAATGATGAGTTTGTCAGTGGTATAAAGGAAAGAATGAAATATGCTATCACGTTCAGTTTGTTTTGTTGTTGCTTTAGTAAAGTGATTGCATAATCTGGGTCTGAGCACTTGCACTGCATCTTCTAGTGGACACTATGGGGAATGCCACTAGAGGATGAGTGTCTCGTTCCCTCTCGGGGAACCATGGTCACATGCGTAACCCGGGACGTTCCCCTTCAAGGGAAATCGCACTGCATCCTCTAGAGGCATTCTCCATAGTGTACACTAGAGGACGCAGTGTCTTGGTACCTCTCGAGGAACCATGGTTACATGCGTAACCCGAGATGATTTTTGTTATACTCCATAAAACTGGAAAAAAATCATTAATGGAACAGCTAAAGCCGGGCTCACACTACAGGAGTTTTAAAATCCTAACCGATTATGAAATCTGGTTGCAGCACACACATAAAGAGAATCTTTTCTTTCCCCTAACGGTTGTGAAACGTTTTCGACACATTATTCAGACAGTCGTGTTATTGCAGAACTTACACAAGCAGTTTCTCCATCTCCACTATCCAACGGACCTGTGCAGCAGCTTGTTTTGTGGTCGCGCATTGGCTATTGTGAAAGTATGATGTAATCATAGCCGTGATCATCCCGATTTAAAATCCTAAATATCAAACCCGATTTGTGTGTGAGCAGATCAGGAGGTGCAAGATTCAATCTGTGAACGCCTCACATTACCAGATAATCTGCGCTGAACATCGGAGCCAATCGAGGCTCTAGACAAGATTTTTCCTCCGATTCTCGGGAGGGAAAAATCGGGGCTAAATCGGGGCTAAAAATCCTGTAGTGTGAGCCCGGCTTTAAGACCAGAATCATTAAGAAAAGCTGCAATCAGAACCAGAATCATTAAATAGGGATATTTATTAAGAGCTACTGAGCTAATGTGGTTTATGTGGATGAATAGATGGTTTTGGGCACAAATCATCAACGACTTCCACTGCAGCATTTGGGTTTAGTAGCCTACTCTGTTTTTTGTGTCTTGAGTCTTGGTGGTCTGACAGTGGACTCTTGTCAAGAGGTTGTTATGAGCTAATCAGTGGGTTCAGTGATGCTTGGTTGGTTCCGGAAGCTCAGCTTCAGGAGAAAGGACATGTAGTTCAGGGACAGTGGAGAATCTTATACCACTCTAATAGTCCTTTGATTCCCCTGTCACAGCCCACTTGAGGGCCAACAGACCTAGTTTGCTCTGATGATCTCCTTCTGCTGGGTCATTGCCTCTGTTAGAGTACGGTTCACAGTGACCCCCTTTTAGCAGGGTCCTGTCAAGACCCCATCATTTTGTAGCTCTATATATTTAGACATTCGGGTTTGAACTTCATTTTACATTTTTAATGTAATGTACATCTAGAAACATCAATTATTCCTAAGTGATGTTTAATCAATGCACTTCTAAAACAGTTGAAAAATCAATATTGATTATCCTCTAGCTGTACTTAAATAACCACTCATTGGGTTTAATTATGCCTGACTCTCTTTCAAATGCACTTCTTTAATGAGGTATGTTAACAAAACGAGGAGTTTGCTATTATGTATCATTTATCTGGAAAGGACTCCATGGGAATGTTAGTTAACATGAAGCCTGCGAACAAAACCTGAGCCTAAGTAAGTTTATAGTGTGATGAAATTCCAAACTTGGGAGGCTCCATGAAGCAAATTCCATCGTTTCGAGTCTCTCCCTTTCACATTTCATCATCAACACTTGTGTCACATTCACCAATTGAATGGGACATTGTCCTCCCCTCAGAGCCCAGTCTCAATAACTGCCCATTTTCTGGGTCCCTGCCCTCACACAATCACGTATCAACTCCAATCTGTCCACATAATGCTCTGCTGCCTGCCTGGAATGGCTGCTAAAACCTAGTGCCACTCCATTTGCATCCACTGCTTCTGGCCAGGGTACGATTCCCTGCGATAATAAACACCCCCTGTCGAGAAGGTGCGGGTTTGATCGATTTTGTCACCAGAAGAAACTTGTATATGCAGCATTTCAAAGCAAGGAGCTTGTATGCCATGGTCTAACGCTTGTTTTTAAAACTGTTTCCATACTGAGATGCAGTGGCCATACAACTCAAAGTAACTCAAAAAGATTCATTTTTTTAAATGATACCTAATAATAAATTCTATGGGACAAACATTGAAGTATTTTAATGTAATCTTGACATCTAAATCATGTTTGTAACTGCACCAGATATGATTATACTCATCAAGTGTGCATAAGTCAGCTGCCCGTATCTGAGCACTATTTGCAGCTCAGCATAACATTAATATTCCTCTTAATGGCAGTCTTGTTTTCCAGAGGCCTGACACTCTAGACAAGATTGTTAACATGACAAAGAGCCTTCTAAAGTAACTTTAGATTTAAAGATTAATAGTAGATTAGTGGGGATGTCAAGGAAGGAGAAATCTGATCTGCTATTTGCTTAAAAGGGTCTTATACTCGTTGCGAAAAAAACAAATGGTTTGTATTATACAATGGTTAGTTCTGGTCCTTGAATTGCATTGACAGTGTGTGCGGATATTTAGTCCAGTCTATCAGTCTGTGCAATTTAGTAAATTTTTTAAATATTTCTGCAAGCTACATCATTAAACCAGTAGATGGCGACAAGTTACTGTCTTAATGAAAGAGTCTAATTATCAGTCGATTTGTTCAAAACATTGATCATTCTGAAAATGAGTAAGACAATTTATTAATTCAACCAATTCATTAAAAAATCTCTGATATATTCAGGAGCAAAACAAGTGACTGTATTTAAGAGACATAGGCTGCATCCAAAATCACATACTTTTCTACTATATAGTAGTCAAAAAACAGTGACAAAAGAAGTATGTCCAAATTTTAAGTACTTATAAAAGAGTAGGCAAAAAGTGCCTGGATGGCCTACTACTTCCAACATATGATGGACAATTTACCATCCCATCAGGCCACAGTAGAGGATTTGTGAATGGCAGTAAAATGATGCAACTGACACCGGTAAGTCACATGATAATGACAACATGACAAATGTAGCACGTCCAGATTACATTCATACTCTATAGAACTTTTTTAACAGTTGCGAAGTAATTACCTATTCAAAATACAGTGCCGTGAAAAGGTTTTTGCCCCCTTCCTGTTTTTTTTTTGCATATTTGTCACACTTAAAAGATTCAGATCATCAAACAAATTTTAATATTACACAAAGATAATGCAAGTAAAAACAATATGCAGTTTTTAAATGATGATTTCTTTTATTAAGGGAAAAAAGCTGTCCAAACCTACCTGGCCCTACGTGAAAAATTAATTGCCCCCTCCTGTTAAATCATGAAAGAACTGGGATTAACCACATTATGTTAGAAAGCCGAGTTAAATTTCACTAGCCACACCCAGGCCTGATTACTGCCAGACCTGTTGAATCAAGAAATCACTTAAATAGAACCCGTCTGACAAAGTGAAGCATGCTTAAAGAGCAACACGTCATGCGGTGATCTAAAGACATTCAAGAACAGATGAGAGACAAAATAGTTGACATGTATCAGTCTGGAAAGGGTTATAAAGCCATTTCTAAGGCTTTGGGACTCCAGCGAACCACGGTCAGAGCCATTATCCACAAATGGAGAAAACTTGGAACAGTGGTGAACCTTCCCAGGAGTGGCCAGCCTACCAAAATTACTCCAAGAGCGCAACGACGACTCATCCAGGAGGTCATAAAAGAACCCAGAACAACATCTAAAGAACTGCAGGCCTAACTTGCCTCAATTAAGGTCAGTGTTCATGATTCAACAATAAGAAAGAGACTGGGCAAAAACGGCATCCATGGGAGAGTTCCAAGGCAAAAGCCATTGCTGACCAAAAAGAACACAAAGACTTGTCTCACATTTGCCAAAAAATATCTTGTTTATCCCCAAGACTTTTGGGCAAATATTCTGTGGACTGATGAGACAAAAGTTGAACTTTTTGGAAGGTGTGTGTCCCGTTACATCTGGCGTAAAACCAACACAGCATTTCATAAAAAGAACATCATACCAACAGTCAAACATGGTGGTGGTAGTGTGATGGTCTGGGGCTGCTTTGCAGCTTCAGGACCTGGATGACTTGCCATAATTGATGGAACCATGAATTCTGCTCTCTATCAGAAAATCCTGAAGGAGAATGTCCGGCCGTCAGTTTGTGACCTCAAGCTCAAGCGCACTTGGTTTATGCAGCAGGACAATGATCCAAAACACACCAGCAAGTCCACCTTTGAATGGCTCAAGAAAAACAAAATTAAGGTTTTGGAGTGGCCAAGTCAAAGTCCAGACTTAAATCCGATTGAGATGCTGTGGCATGACCTTAAACAGTCCATTCATGCTCAAAAACCCTCCAATGTGGCTGAATGAAAACAATTCTGCAAAGAAGAGTGGGCCAAAATTCCTGTGAAAGACTCATTGCCATTTATCGCAAACGCTTGATTGCAGTTGTTGCTGCAAAGGGTGGCACAACCAGTTATTAGATTTAGGGGGCAATTACTTTTTCACGTAGTGCCAGGCAGGTTTGGACAGCTTTTTTCCCTTAATAAATGAAATCATAATTTCAAAACTGCAGTTTGTATTTACTCAGGTTATCTTTGTGTAATATTAAAATTTGTTTGATGATCTGAATCTTTTAAGTGTGACAAATATGCAAACAATTAAAAAAACAGGAAGGGGGCAAAAACTGTATATATATAAATGCTTTCCTCTTAAAAAAAATAGATGACAACAGAGCTCAATACGTTCAGTTCAATTTTCATTTTGGGTGAACTATCCCTTTAATCAGTAATGCTCAATATTGAATGTGTAATTTATTATAATTAGATTACCTTTGTCATTTAATGCTCACTTAAAGTTTTAAAAACACTAATCATTTAAAAACATTTTAATGTAATCTTTTGCAAATCTCAGTGAAAATGAATGTTTTGTATTGTACATTATAATGTTATGATGCCTAAATTCACTTTAAATGGATTTTAAATTATTTATATTAGCATTACTTTTGTAATTTATTTAGGCAAAATATTATATAACATTAATAATATTAATATTCTATTTATTTTATTTTACAAAAAAATATGTATAGATTTTATAATTTGGTCATTTATCATGTTATGTCATTTTATCATTTTATGAAAATGATCATCAGGCAAATCTGTAATATTTATATA